GTTAAAAAAAAAAAAGAATAAACAAAGAAAAAAAAAAGAGTAGATATTGGGAGTAAGGAGCACAAAGGGATTCCCTGGGTTGAGGGACTAGTTCTGTATTTTATTTGATATTTATAATAGGAGCCCCTATCAAAACTTTACTTTAAATCCGTGTATTTTTATTATGATTTAACCTTACGAAAAGTCTTGGCAAAAAAAGGCAATGAGCTGACTGATAAGTTGATGTGCTCTTGAATGCTCCTGAAAGCATGCATCATAGATGAAAGTGATCCGGTTGTGCTTTTGGTTACGTGTTGGACTGCTAACTGCAAAGAGCTACTCTGCAGAAGACAGACAGTGGAGAGATGCAGTATCAGACAAACAAGGCAAGGGCCAAATGTGGAACAGACCATGAGTTGATGACGGTGAATAAAATTGAAACGTGTCCACAAGAGCCAAAATGTGACCTGGAGTACATGCCACTTGAAGTTAGGGACCATCTCAAAACCAGATTTGATTCATTAAACACTGATCTCTGAGGATCAGTTGAATTATGGTTTGCCGTCAAGAACACCACTAATGAAAAAAGCAAAAGGTCGTTAAAAAAATAGGAACCAAAAGACCAAAGTAGATGTCAGGAGAGACCATGAAACAGTCTTGAATGTAGAGTAAAGCTAAGGTGAATGGAAGAAACTAAACAGAAAATTTCAAAAGGCAGTTCAAGAAGACACAGTGTTATAATGAAATGTACAAAGACCTAGATCTAGAAAATCAAAAGGAAAAAAAAACAGGTTCAGCTTATTTCAAGTTGAAAGAAGTACAAAATTTCAAGCTTCCAGTTACAACAGTGAAGATTCCATGGGCAAATACTAAACCATGTGGTAAAGATCAAAAGACGGAGTACAAACACCAGACCAAAACAATTGGGTTGACATCTAACCATGTTGAGGTAGCATATGATCAAGCTCCTACAGTGTTGTAAGAAGTCTAAAACGGACTGAAGGCATTAGCCAAAAACAGTTCTGAGAATTGCTTGAATAACAACTGAAATGTCTCAATAAAGCTCTTGAAGTACTAAGTATGCCAACAAATTTGAAAGCTGAGTGACTAAATGGGAAAGATCCATATTATACCCATTCCAAAGAGAGGTGACCCGACAGAAGGTGGAAATTATTGACAATATCATTAATACCACAGGCAAGTTCACAGTTGCAGTAGTATAACAGAGAGCTGCCAGAAATTCAAGGCAGATAAAGAGGACATGGAATGAAGGGTATCACTGCGGATGTCAGAGGAATCTTGGCTGAAAGCAGAGGGTACCAGCAATATGTTTACTTGTGTTTTATTGACTGTGCAAAGGCATTAGGCTATGTGGATTGTGACAAACTATGGATAGCCTTGAGAAGAATGGGAATTCCACAACATTACATTGTGCTCATGCAGGACCTGTAATGGACCAAGAGGTCAATGTGCAAACAGAACAAGGGGATAATGCATGGTTTAAAATCAAGAATGGTGTGTGTTACGGTTGTATCCTCCTACCATTCATTCCTGTTCAATCTGTATGTTCAATCCAGAAAAGCTGGATTATATATAAAGAACATGGCATCAGGATTGGAAGGAGGCTTATTGACAATCTGCAATATGCAGATCACATAACTTTGCTTGCTGATGAAGATCATGGACTCCAGTCTTTATTAGATTACAACTCAGTATTATGAAAACCAAAATCCTCACAACTGGATCACGCAGTATCATGTTTCAACAAGCAGACTGAAGGTTTCCAGGATTCTGTCTTGCTTGACTCCACAATCAATGCTCATGGCAGCAGCAGTTAAGAGAACAAGCGACATATTACATTGGGTAAATGCTGCACAAAACCTTTTTATAGGGTTGAAAAGCAAGGATATTACTCTGAGGACTAAGGTGTGCCTGACCCCCGCTATGGTATATTCAGATACCTCACATGCATATAAAAGTGCTCTTGGAATCAGCAGTCAAGAGACCAAATGACACATTTCACTGGGTAAATCTGCTGCACAAAACCTTTTTATAGGGTTGAAAAGCAAGGATATTACTCTGAGGACTAAGGTGTGCCTGACCCACGCTATGGTATATTCAGATACCTCACATGCATATAAAAGTTGCTGAGTAATGAAAACTAAAGAAGAATCTATTTGAACTATGAACCATCACATGTGAATGACGAAGATTCTTCCAAGTACTATGGACTACTGAACGAACAAACAGATTGTCTTAGAAGTACAGCCAGATTGCTCCTTCGAGGCGCGGATGGCGAGACTGTAGCTCATATATTTGGACATGCTGTCAGGAGAGACTAGTCGCTGGACTGATGCTTGGTAGAGCAGTAGAGGGGCAGTGGAGAAGAGGAAGGCCCTTCACAAGATGGACTGGACTCAATGGCTGCAACAATGGGCTCAACGAGAAGAACAACTGTGAGGATGACACAGCACTGCTGGTGTTTCCTGCTATTCACAGGGTCACTAAAGGTCCGAAACGACTCGACAGTACTTAACAGTAACAACAAAGCATACTCTAAAATGTGACGACTATACAATTAAAACAAAAAACCCTCTTCCAGGAATGCATCTCACCATTCCGAAAATGGAAAAGGAAACGGTTTTCAAAAATTTGCTTTTCAAGGCAACAGAAACATCTACCACAAAGCACTATAATTTTCATAACTTTTTATCAAATAGTTATATCAGAGATGTATCTTAAGACAGACTAGAATCAGATTGCCTTGTATAGGAAGATATTTACTGTAAAATTATCCCAAATAACACAACCACTGGATCAAAAAAAAGTAGCATATGATGCAGACAATCTTGACAGAAAATGTTAGCATGAAAAAATTGATACATGCAAAATATGTTATCAAAAAAATAAAAATAAGGGCCCCAAACACAAAATTAAATGTAAAACAATACAACAGACAAAAATTTTAATTAGCATAAAAAACTAAACATTTTTATTAAGCACTTTCGGACATAGAAACTAGAAAAAGATATGGTACAAGAAACGTCTGCATACATGCCACATATGTTCAGTAACTGAATTCTTTATGCATAAACATACATAGTTTGCTAAATCATTTAAAAGCATATTAGAAATACTACAGCACTTCACTCTCAAACACTTCAACATACAAATTAAAGCATTCTCCTGAGTGACAAAACACCTTAAAAAACAGTTCTAAAAATAAGCAATTACCCAGTATTTTACATACAGTACATGTTTAAGATTTCGGAGTTTTGTTTTTTTACAGATTTTGAAAGCAGCATCAGTCCAATCAAGGATACTATACTGCGTTTGGCTGTTGGGTCTCTTAATTTTCTCCTAATCTAGATGAGCTCTCCTTTCCTTCCTTTATTTTAAAACTTTGGTTTGCAGTCTTTCTAACAGATAGGAAATTAGATCCAAAGGCTAGATTAAATTTCTACCCAGAATTAACCAGTAAATATTTGGGGAGATGATCATTTGGCTCTCTGAAAATTCTTGTAGGGTTGGGGATCAAACTTTCCTCTGTGAGTTTTTGCATCAAAATGTCTTCAATATTCAAGGATTTGTTTTCCACAAAACAGGCACTTTAAAAAAGAGAAAAAGATTCACTAGCTTAGTCATGGTAGACTTACTCCTTAACTGAAATGCGAACACTTTCCTTCTTTTTGATTTTGTCTGACACCCTGTAAGAAAAACAAACAAGTAATAAAAGATAAGCATCCATACTTTATGAGATGTATTTTATTTAACAAAATGTTATCAGAAAGTAAGTTAACAGCTCTCCAATGTGCTTTAAAACTTGTATCAAAGTTAAAAATGGTTAGAATGAAATTACAATTATTTTTTATTAAGTCTAAGGATGCTCCTCAGTTCACTTATACTTTATTTCCACCAAATAAAATATATAATGGCCTAAGATTACTCAACACACCATACATAAGACAGATGCACAAATGTTTTCATCACACACACACACACACACACACACACACACGCTAATGTAAGGTGCCATGTCTTACCATGTAATAGCCAGTATGATAGCCACTCATGTACCAAGAGATCAGCATACTTCCCAGAGCATCGGCATCATCCAGAGAATCTGGGCAAATGGGAGGTGGTGGGGGGATAATCTGGAAATGGAGGAAACATTCTATTAAAGTCACAACACAAACCGTGAAGCTGATAACTGTAACTTTCCATACATACCTCATCATTTGAAATTAAAAAGCAAAACACACACATACACACACACTCCTTGAAAGTTGAACAGCAAACCAGCAATTTAATCAACTAAGTAAATACAACAAAGATCAAACAACAGGTAACACAAAATGTTTATTTTGATTTGATTAGGACTGTTTTATTGCTGCTATTCTATTATGAAAAACAAAACAAAAAGTCAATGCTGCCAAATCAATTCCAAATCACAGAAAACCTCTAGGGCAGATTAGAAATGCTCCCTAGGGTTGCCAAGGCTATAAACCTTAACAGGAGCAGAAAGTCTTACTGTTTTCATGATGAGAGGCTGCTAAGTTTTAAAAAAAACACCGACCTTGTAATTAACAGCTCAATGCTTAACCATACCAGGGTTTTCTACTATAAACACTCAAGCTCAAAAACCAAACTTACTGCCATCAAGTCAGTTCCGACTCATAGAAACCAAGGCAGAAAGCCTGTCTTTCTCCTTTGAAGCAGCTGGTGGTGTCAAACTGCTGACCTTGAGGTTAGCAGCCCAACATATAACCACTATATTACCACTACTATGAAATCATGCATAAAAAGACAATGAAGAAACAATTCCATATTTTTCTTTGTAAGAACTTCAAAATGAAGGGCAGTTTTAAGTAAAGATCTTATGGAGGGCAGCCATGTTTGTAGTTTATTGGTGATCCTTAAAATTCTACCCTTAGAAACCCAGTCCACTGGATGAGACGCTAAGTCTATGTATATAACCACTGGGAGGGTAAGTCCTTCATTACTCCCCAATATAAGGTGTAATTAAAACCATTCTAATAGGAGTCCCTTCCCTTTGGGTGAGAAGCGTTTGCAAGGAAGGAAGTGGGTAATACAGAGGTCAGAGTTGGGGCTACAAGAATACTGAATCTGGGTAACTGAGGATAATCAAAACAAAAAAACAAAAACAGGAGGAACAGTGCATATTTTTACCCATTGAATCTGGTCTTAAGGTTGGTCTAAGATGACAATTTCCCAATCACCTGTACTTTCTAACACTCAGCTATCTTCTACAAAATTCTAAACCATGTGTGAAAGCAAAGTTAATCTGCGTTATTTTGTACTTACTGGTGGGCCAGAAGGAAATGGAGGTAGCCAGCATGATAGAAAAGGTGGTGGGGGAGGGGGTGGTCCATTGAACTTGAGGCTTGGCTGCAAAGAAACATTTCAACAAAAAAAATAATCTACCAATTTCAATATGAAAGCGAGAAAAATGATGGAGTCCTAAAATAATTAAAAACAATCACCTAGAATATCCGTATTGTATAGATTAAAAAGTCAAGTAGAATTTCACTTGTTCCAAATACTGAAGACTTGTAAGTCAAATGACAAACTTCTAGATTTTTCTCAATTCCTTTTTAAAGAGATTACTTGGGAAGTAAAAACTAAGTAAGCTTTTCAGTCACTTAATGAATTAGATACAATAGTATTTAGCAAGATATTTCAATCCAGAGATAATATCCTCCTACAAGTAACTAAATTGTATATCCTTTGTATAGCTCCCCCTTTAGCTATCCATATGCTGAGTATGTATTATGAAATCCAGCCAGCTTTCAACAAAAAGATCAAGAAAGACCAAAGCAGCACGAAAGCATACCCGTGTCTCTGTCCACACACAAGGGAGCTTTAAAAAATTGTCCAACAAATCTATTACCATTTATCGGGTTTTTTAATTTTATTTTTTTCTGTTATCTTTTAATTACATTTTTTTCATGAGCTTGAAGCATCCTGGTGTGTGTAAACATTTTGAGATGGATCATTTTAGACTGAGGGAACTGACAAGACAAAACTTATATAGAAAGCTTTTCATTTTAGTCCACTTCTATTAGTTAAAAGCAAAAGTCTAAAAGGAATATTCACATTTCAGTTCTGCAAAACAACCTGATAGCTTTGCAAGATCTTATCCATTAGATAAAAATATTGAAAATTGCCAAAAAGAATACCTAAAGTATATTTATATTTCCTAACTTTGCTAAATGATTAGTCTAATTCTTTGTGTTCTACAAAAATCACACAAGACTTTCAGTAAAAATTATTGTGATCATTATTTTACTTTAAGTTCAGAGAATTTCCAATTAGGATTATGTAGCTTTAGTGTTTCTAGAGAGCTGCCGGAGCCTTTGTGGCATAGTGGTTACGCTGTGGCCTACTAACAGATCAGCATTTCAAAACCACCTGTAGCTTTTCAGGGAAAGAAGAGGGTTTCTACTCCTGTGAGTTGTTACAGTTTCAGAAACCCACAGGGGCAGTTCTACCCAGTCTTATAGGGTGGCTACGAATCACAATCAACTCCATGGCAGTGAGTTTGGAGTTTTTTAATAAAGAGCTAAAAAAGTTTAATGAGAGAAGCAACAATTCATTTAATGGAGAGGTACAATGCCTCAACTCTACCCTCTGGGTCCTAGGTTTACCTTTCCTGGCCCCATCCCGGATGCCGGCATTGGGGGGGGTGGAGGTAGAAAGGAGCTCCATGGTGCCGCTTTAGACTTGGTATTTGGTTTGTTTCCAAGAGACCTGGAGGAACTTTCACTTTCATCTGTTGAAATTTGACTTTCGTTTTCATTCTTTAAAAAGAAAAAAAAAGGGTCATACAGAAAAATATAATGCTTTTGTAGATTAAACTAGTTATATTGTTTAGTTTCTCATCCCTCTCAGCCCTTTCCAATTATTATTACAACTTTTCATTCCTACCTCTTGAGCATTCTGGTCTACATTATGAACTCCTCCAAAGGTTGGGAGAAGTAGATCAGACAGATGTTGCTCCTCTCTGTTTCCATATCCGGTGTAAACCACAACACAAGTTTCTCTCTTAAGATCAACTGAAGTGATGGTAGCTGGGTAAATGCAGCCATCTTCTGACCAAATGGCGGAACATTTATCACCAACTTTCCACTACAAAATAAACCAAAGACACAAAAACATGCACTCCTTTTAAAGACAGTAAAATAGAACCTGGGGGCGGGGAGGGGGCGTTCACAGAGGAGGCTCTAGTTACCTTATCTGGAAGAGAGAATAACCAAACAAACTCACTGCCATCAAGACAATGCTGACTTGTAGTGACCTTATCAGACTGTAATTCTCTACCACAGGGGTCCTCACTGTTTAAACAGGGGGCCAGTTCACTGTCCCTCAGACCTGTTGGAGGGCCAGACTATAGTTTTTAAAAAACTATGAACAAATTCCTATGCACACTGCACATATCTTATTTTAAAGTAAAAAAACAAATGGGGCAAAAACACCTGGCAGGCCAGATAAATGTCCTCAGTGGGCCGCATGTGGCCCGCGGGCCGGTTTGAGGATCCCTGGTTAGAAAGCCCCATCTTTCTCCTGAGGAGTATGTGGTGGTTTCAAAGTGCTGACCCTGTGGACTGAAGCCCAAGGCGTAACCACTATGCCCCCAGAGCTCCTTGAAAGACAGAACAGTTTAGTAAAGAAGACTTTGGGGCCAGAAACATAGGAGCCTAATTTTTTTTTTTAATTAGGCAGGTTTTTTTTTCTCCTATTAAAAGATCATTTTATTGGGGGCTCTTACAGCGGCAGGAGTAACTATGACTCCCTTGAGGCGCCCCTGGGAAATGTTTCTTAATTTCTTTGGTCCTATCTGCCTCATGTGTTAAATGCAAACAATATACTTTCTATGTCTGATGTGAAGACTAGAAAGGAGAGAACGTATCCAGCACTTGCAACGCAAGCTTGTCAAACGTTAGCTAGCTTCCCGGAGAATGACGACGCTGACGCTGACCAGGCAATGAGCACTGCTGGGAGAGTGAGTTCTGAGCTGGGCTAAGAGCTGATCAATGAGACATCAAAATAATTAGCTTCCGTGTCTACTGCTTTAACTAGCAGAATGACTTCCCAGAGGCTTTGGCTCCCAGCTGCTCATCATTTTAGGGATTTCAAAGGGGAAAAAACCCAAACAGGTACCCATCTCTCAGCTTAAGAAGTAAAACGCTGCCAATTTAAGTTAAGGCCATCAGGAACCTTTCTCAAATAACAGTTCTCTTCTTCCCATCCCCAAACTAAACACTGCCTGGAATTTAGAATTTATCATTCCCATCTAATTCCTTAAATTTATATTGCTGACATGCATGTTCCTAAACAACAGAAAGTGTAAAAGAAGTTTTACACGTGTATGTCCCTGGAAAACACTGTACTCGTCATTTTACGTTATACTGTATTTCAATTAAATACATTTTTTACTATTTAATAAGGACAGGAATAAAGCATTGAAATTAAATCTCAATGTTGTAAATAACCTGCTTCAGTGGAGTCGTGACGGTCTTTTTCTGGCTCTTTTTCTTCTTAGTAGGCTTTCTTTTAGGTGTGAGTTTTGGTTTGTCAGTAGCTTCACAAATTTCTCCATTCTTTAGAGCATTCTAGTAAAATGTGCATAGAAATGTCCATGTTACATAGTGATACATTAAGAATAAAGTACAACATAGCTCAGTTACCTCTATAAGCTGGTATCCAGTCCCCAACACTTCAGGAAGCCCCCGTTTCCTCTTTTCACGATCTCATACTTTACCAAACTGCTTCTGAAGACCTCACACAACTAATCCTAAGCACTGTTTAGCTTACGAAGCTATTAATCATCTTTCTCTCAAAATTCATGACTGTGTTAGTCTGGGTACTTTAGGGAAACAAATCCACAGAAACTCATGTATAAGAGATATTTTTATATAAAGGTTAAGTGCACAGCAAGAAAACATCTCAACCCAGTGCTGCCCAAGCCCACAAGTCCAACATTAACCCATATGTCCAACACCAATCCTCAAAGTCCTCCTCCATCTCACGAAACACACGCAACGATGCCGACTGCAAGAGGAAAGCCGAGTCAGTGAATGTGTAAGCATCTCAACGCTGATAGGGGTCTCCACACAGGTGCTCCAGCACCCAGGGCTGCACTGGGGTAGGTTCATGTGGCTTCTCCTCAGGGATGTCTTGCAGAAGTGACCCTTGCCAGCTAAAGCAGGGAACTGGCTAAGGCAGCTGCACCCTGGTCCGACCATCACAAATCAAAAGACCCGAGAACTCAAAAGGCGAGGCTCACCTCGCCATTTATCCCTCCGCCCTTCAATTAACCCCACATTTGTTTATCGGCCAGACTGGCACAATAAACTAACTACCTCAATGTCACACCCTGGCAGACACAGCAATGTAGTGCCCTAAACTTGTGTTCCCAACAAGTACAGCCATTTGCTCGATCTGCTCATGGTCCTCTATGCTTATGACCACAATGACCTTGAAGCAAACACTTTGAAAGTTATTACCCAGATCTGCCCTTCCTCCTTAGTGCGATCTAGTATTTCCAATAATAAATTTTATTACTTAAAATACCTCAAACTCAACATGATTAAAATAAAAATTGCTTTCCTCCAAATGATTTCTTTTCAGCTTTTACTAATATCACTCTTCTCCAAACCCCACAACATCACCAGCTCTGGCCCCTCATGGACCAGCGGCTATCTAAACGATGTCAGTCTCTAGTCTCTCTTCACTTCTGCTTTTTACAGAGCTCTCTTGGCAACCCATTTTACTGTGTATTTATTGCGAAGTGCATGATTTAAGAATTTAAAATCCAGGGGTAGGAACAACATACAGGTCTGGAATTTTCCTCAAGCTGGAGGAGACCACAGGAAAGTGGACTCTGTGTGGTGCTCTTTGTGCTCCGCCTAGTCCACACATGCTGCTCAGTAAGCCTACTGCAACAGGGGGGCAACGGACGACATTGGACAACTGGTTCAATGTCTTATTTGGACCATTCACCCACTACCATTGAATAGATTACAACTCAGAGTGACCTGATAGGTAGGGTAGAACTGTTCCTTTGGGTTTCTGAGACTGTATGTCTTTACGGCAATGGAGAGCCTCATACTTCTCCAGTGGAGATACTCGTGGTCTCAACGGCTGTTCCTACGGTTAGCAATCCAACAAGTAGCACACTATACCACCAGGGGTCCTTATGTGGGCCACAGAACCAGATGAGACTCCTACAACAATCAGATATTCCCACCATCAGAACACCTAACTTGACACCAATTAAAAGGGTATCGAGAGACATTTGTTATTTCAGTGTGTGCAAAGCATTCAGAACAGTAAATCCTACGTGACCATTATTTAGCATCATGTAAGAGAAGGGCTGCTAAATGTTTTTAAAATTCAAATTGTCCTTCTGCTAATGTGAACAGAGGACTTGTACAGTTTGATAAAATATTAAAAGTTATTAATACTTAAAATTCTACTTCGCATCTTGGTGGTAACAAAGGGTTGATGGCTCGAGGCCACACAAAGGTGCTTCAAAAGAAAGACCTGGCGATCGTATGTGAAGTGCCAGCTACTGAAATTCCTACAGAGCACAATCCTACTCCAACACACCTGTGGTGCCGCCATGAGTCAGAGGCTTAGGTAAAAGGATGACATGCACCAGCATCTAAATGAAGGTATCATCTGATTTAATGAAACCATTACCACCACTTTCTTCAAAATTAAAACATGCACTGTAGCACTTTACAGTACAAGCATATGTAATCATTTTCCCCAAATGGACAATACGAGAAAATAGAGTAAACATTTCATACCTTAAAGGAAGCTACAGCTTTATCGTAGGCCTTGATCAGTGCCGTATCATCCCAGATGTCAGCGTCGTCGCTCTGGGAAGAATAAGAAAGCAGTCATGGTTAGAGGGGTGTCAGAGAGAGGGGGTGTTCTATCATATCAAGCCACCTTAACTCTGGGAAGAATAA